TGTTAGACATCGCATTTGAAGTGATTTGACCACCTCTCCAAGCACATATATAATATATTTCCTTGGAATGATTTTTTCGAAGTCACAACATTTATGTCGAACTGGTACTTTCGATGTGAGGTGCCCCTACTGTAGTGCATCTTCGAGGTGGTGGTCTTCTCTTGTGAATTGTATCATTTACATACACCACCTCTACCAAAAGATGATCTACGTATCTGACAACTTCGGCTTACAGTAAATATGCTCAGTCAACTTTTGAGTACTTTTCATATTGCCTTTATATATGACTAGTGAGTCGTTAAGATGAGATCATGTGTCAAACATCCAATAGATACAACTTCTTGTCTCTTGGTATAAAAGCTCATATTGTGTGTCTTCATATATGTAAGTTTAATCCAAGCAGTGCAACAATGATCTCAACACACACATTGTAAAAAAATTGGTATCCTCTCTGCAAATATGAGTCATGACAACTATATTCTCATCTATAGTGTCTCTCTCATACCCAAAAATATATAGACATCTATTTGACTTGAGAATTGGAGTTCTCGGGATCTTCGCACTCCCGTTGGAGTTACATTCACGAGCAGTATAACATGGTTGTCCAAGTGTGTTTGTATCATATATGTGGGCGAGGGATATGTTAAGATCAATTGGCCACGAGGCACTGTCAAATTTTGATGTCAGCACAATTCTCGATTAACTTGTATTCCTTTAATTATTAAATAGATACATATGCACCTCTCGATTTCACAGATAGTGTTGTCCTCCAAATGTCATTTGGCTTTACAGAAGAAACACGTTACGTACAAATAATGTGGACAATGTATCAATAATTATCTGAATGTATAACCACACGTATTATTTTCAACAATTTCTACTGTATATTTCTTAAATATCGAAAGATGAAAGTATATGAGGAAAAAAAATTAATATCAAACAATTCCTTGCAATTTTTAAAGCGTCGCTGAAAGCTGATGTTAGAAATTAACAAAACAACACTTCTGCACAGGTGTAACTACAAGGGTGAATAAGAACAAAGCATTTATTCTATTTGTTGCTGTTCTAACCCTATTTTGTTTGACTAACTTGTTTCCTTTCCCAGGTTTAATCAACTTGCAGGTAGCAGTTTAAATGTCAATTGGAAAATTGGAAGCATCACGGAAAAATGTTAAAAGGGGAGTCATAAATGTCACTAAATTTGAAAATTCTCAAAAATTTGTCATTTTCACTTTTGGTGTACAAAAATGTCACTTTTGGTGTGAAATATCCAAATTACCCTTAGTGGCTTTTTTTAGGAGTATTTAATGCTTAATTTGAATGCCATTAATATTTTGATATGATGATTTAGTTTGTATATTATAAACATTGCATATATGTATATTATATTGAGTAATATGAATTTTATTTTAAAAAATAAGATAAAAGAATTTGAAAAGTTAACATAAACACAACCAATTACCTCATTTATCCCACTAGCCGATGGACCATCTGGTAGTTTGGGCTACCACCTTTCGGGTCGGCGCCTTCATACGAAACAACCAATTTTGAAATCATAAGGATAAGAACTCCAAATAGTGGGACAAATGCTTTTTTAGATTAAAGTAGTAACATATACCAATCCCCTCATTTACCCAACTAGCCGATGGACCCTCCGGTAGTATGGGCAATCACCTTTTGGGTTGGTGCGTTCTCCATCTAGAACGACAATTTATCTCTATAGATGGTTTCATAACGGTGACGTTTATATTTTATGAAGTAATAATGGTGCTCAGATGATATGTCATACATTTCAACCCCTAAACTACACGTAGAAGAGAAACTTAAGAAAATTTGGCTTACGAAACCAACTTTTGAGATAAGTGAGTCAACTGTCGAGAATTTCAGAGTCTAACTATCGAAAACGACTGTTCATCTCGACGGATGATTCCATTACTATCGGGATTCAAATTTACATTTCACATTCATATTGGTTTTCCAAGACATGAAGGGTCGGGTTATGAAAAATATAATGAGTGTTATACTCATAGTTTCAAGTAGCACCACTTTTCATGTACTCAGCCATAAGTTGTACGTGTAAATGAAAAGACATTTCCAAGAATGAAAATAGAATGATCTAACACAAACAACATGCACATAACCACACATAATTATATAAAGACACGCATTAATGCTAAAAAATGCAAAATAGCCAAGCCTATTTGTGCATAGTTGACCAAAATATGCCTTAGTTCAATATTGACTCATTTCACAAACTCAAACTCAATTTACCTAGTAATGACCAAGAACCACTATTTACATGAAATAAGAGTGAAAAACATAGTTGTAAAATATAAATTAATAGATAACTTACATAAACTCTAATGTTAGCATTTTCCTAAAACTAGAAAAATTGACAACAAAAATCGAAAAAATAAGGTATATTGTACCAATTCAGAGTAAAAAATGCAAAGAATAAAAAAAAAACACCCTAAATTTAAAGAATCATAAGAAAAGATAGCAAAAAATGCAAAAGGAAAGAAAAACGCAAAAACGCAAACCTGAAGAGATTAATGGTGATCTTCGTTGGCAGTGGACTAATTAACGATTGTCGTCGACGGTGTGAGCTGTTGACCCGTCGACGATTCGAATGAGAGAGAGGGGAGTAAGTTTAGGGTTAGCGAGTGTTTGAATGATATATTGAGTTGTATTTTTTGTCTTTGGTTTTTCACTTTTTTTTTTGTTAAATTTGAAAGTTGAGTTATTTGGATGTGACATTTTTTTTTCATTTTTTGTACAATTTTTCATATAGTCAAATCTCATTTAATGATGGACATGTAAGGCATTTAAATTCTTCAGAGGGGGAAAAATGTCTAAAAATTATAGTCTTGCAAAAACTTTTAAAAAGTGACATTTTTGAAAATACAAAACCAAAAAATGACATGTAGTACAATTTCCTCTTTATTAAATATTATCTATAACTTCATCGTTAGGGATAAACGGTAACAAAATTATTGGGATTAATAATCAAGTGAATCATGATCATTGTCAAAAACATCATAAACACACCCAATCCAATTGTTTGAATATCATTGCTATTTTTGTAGGGTCATTAACGAAATCGAATTCGATCCTCGGACGAGATATGAAGAAAGAAGCAAGCACCGTTGCTAGTATTCAAACTAAGTAGTGATCCATCAATCAAAGAATTTTTAGACAATTTTCATCATAATTGTTACGGGCTTATGTCAGACCCGCCACCTAGTCCGCCATGTGTCAGAAGAGGTGACCCACACCACGCCACGTGTCGACCGAGGTGATTGTATATGGGACGAGCTAATTGTATATGTCGAAGTGATTACGTGAGGAGCGAATTGAAGGCGCGTCAGCGAAGGAATCGGACTCATCCGCAATTACACCATGGATGCAAACGCCCGCACTCCGCCTCTCCAACGCTACAACACCTCTCCTGCCTTGCCCTTCAAAAATCTCTTGTACAAAGATTTTTCCAAAATCAAATCTATGACTGATAGGACGTGTGGCATGACGTAAACGGTTAAATCAACTGTTTTTGTCAAAAATATTCAATGTTAGCCAACCTATGGAGGGACGGATTGACACATAGGATGGGATGAGTCCTGAAGATCTGGTAACACGTGTCTCCTCATCCAACGATTCTTCCCTTTCCATCTTTAGTATAAATATCCTCCCCTTGAGGCAGAAGAAATATTCGAATCAATATTTTCTCCCTCTACACTAAAACTTGAATATTATCCTCTTCCTTAAGTATTGGCTTTTTTATTACTATACTTTATCGACCACTTTCCGGCGAGTGATTTACCGTCGGCGAACCTTTTCTGGTTGAACCATAAAACTGACTTGACCGTAAGAGTGCTCGCGGCAGCTCCCAGCTCCCAACCCCTCCGAGAAATGCCACGGATGACTAACGACGTGCTACGTGTGCAGGGAAAAGCGACTTGAAGACATTCAGTTGGCCACGTGTCAGAGCCATTTTCTGATGTCAACAATAATCATTGTATTCATCGACATTAAGTTGATGAAATTTTATTAGGATTTGCTTTCTTAGATATGCTCTAAAAGACTTTTTAAATATAAAATGTTCTTTATTTTAAAAAGTCAACCTTTAAAATTATACCCCAAAAAATTTTTAAATTAACATTTTAATTTAGAGAGTAAATTCGTTCAAAAATTTTCAATTTTCAATGTAAGAAAACGGTAAAATAATCTAAAGAAAAGTCGTTTAAAATAAAAGATAAAGAAAAACAGAACCGTTCCTCATACTTATTAATTTGACACACTTATTTGATCAATAATCGTGACCTTTAATTTAAGTCAATCCAATGCTCAATATATATTTCACTAAGATCATGCGAATCATGTGAGAGTTTGTTATAATCACTTGATATTTATAAAATATTAAGCATTGGATTGACTTAAATTAAATGTCACGATTATTTGTCGAATAAGTGTGTCAAATTAATGAGTATGAGGAACGGTCCCGAAAGAAAATAATAAATATTTTTTGAGAATAGTAAAATTAAGTGTTAAATATCAAAAATTTATTGAAATACTTCAAAATTTAAAAATTTCAAATTTATAAATACTCTTCGAATGATAAAATATGTTATTTAAAAATAATCAGTCTTTTGAAAATGTCCTTACGTTGTCAAAAAGACAAAAATTAAAGCCTATAGTATCGTTCACTCCGAAGGACATATTCGTAATTTCAACACCCTCACCCTCACCCTCACCATCACCATCACCCCATCACATCCCACCCCTCCCTGCTGCAGTCAATAACACAGATTTACAAGCTCACAATATTGCTTCATGTCCTCTTTTCTACTCCATAATTTTCCACTCTCTGAAACTCTTTCCTCAGCCCTTTTTCTAAGTTTCGATTTGGAAACATGTTTCAGTTCGAAACATTGGAGTTTTAGAAGTTTTCATGAACGAGGAAAGGCCCTGAAAGTTTGAAGGACATTTAATAGCCTCGGGAAATGGCGAACAGATGGATGAAGACACTACAATGTAAGTCAAGGGCAGCAGATGACGTCCACCAACACCACCACAAGGATTATGACCACCACTTAAACCCTAAAAACCACCAATATCACCACCTTGTGTTATTAAACTCCGCCAACTGCAGAAACAGCGTTCAAAATCTCAGAGATATAGTTGAAAATGAAATCAACAGACACAAAAAACCAAAGCAGCCAAAACAACCACAAACGCCGCCGTCGAAAGGACCCGTTGCGAGAACATACGACTTTGGTACAAAACAGTTCATCAACAAAACACGCCACAGTATCATCTCCAACTCCGGCTCGCTGTTACGTGCCACGGATTCATACTTTCCAGCAATCACTGAGCTCCAGGAAGGCCACCCTTCACGTAATGTGGTGGAGATAATCTTTCGTACAAGCTGGGGACCCAAGAATTTTCCGGGTCGGATTGAAATGGTGTTCAAGGTCCAGAATTTGGCCCGGACTGTGACGCGGTTTGAAGAATACAGGGAGGTAGTGAAATCTAGGGCGAGGTCTCGTAGTTCCGCCTCCGTAAACTGCAGCACAGGACACCACGCACGGTGCGTGGCCGACGGGAATGAGGTGATGAGGTTCCACTGCCTCGGAGGCACGACAAGAGAAGCTTATGACGGCGGAACCGTCGGCGCGTGTGCATTTCATGGAGAGAAAAAGAGTGCTATATGTACATTTCCCGAGACTGGTGGTGCTCACGAAAGTGCAGGTGGTGGGAAAGGGCGGAAGGCCATGTTGGTTTGCCGCGTTATAGCGGGTCGGGTATACAAGCAATTGAAGTTTGACTCGTTGCTTGAAGGCGAGGTTGAGTATGACTCGGTGAGTGGAGAGAATGGCGAGTTCACAGTATTTGATTCTCGTGCATTATTGCCATGTTTCCTTGTCATCTACAAATTGTAAAACCTTATTGGGAAGAAGTAAAATTTGTTCAATTATTTTAGAGAAATAAATAAATAAATAATCCTTACTTTGTCGATGCTTACTATTGTGGTCGACTCATGCAGGGCAACACACCATTATTAATTTTTGAGATTTGTTATCATTTCTTATTAAAAATGAGCAAAGATATTCTGTCTAAATAATATGATAGGCAAGAGATCAGAGTATATTGCTCCCTGAAGCATTATGTCGATTACAATGTCCTTCATCATCTCTAGGTGCTTAGGTCAGAAGCATTTCCTCGTATGAACCTCGCCCTTCCATCCAAAGCTTTTTGTCATCCTAAGGTGCTGCTAAACAGATAGTACTTATCAATGTCCATGAACGATGAATCATTATTCGAATCGAAAAAATTGGGTCCTCTCATATTTACTTTATAGGCTAAGTTCATGAGTTGGAGATAAACAGACTCGAACTAAGAGATTTTCAATATATCATAAGATTATCGTTCTTAAAAACTCATACTTTTCCAAATTCATAAATCAGACAAAGTTCTAGGATTCCTTGTTGACACATCTACTTTAATGCATACTCTTGTGACTGATCCATGTCCGACTTTATATGTATTAGCTAACAATCTGTCATGTGCTACATGCATTAGCTTTCCCTAAAAATGAGGTTATTCAACCGCACATTTCAATACAACTACCTCGTCATAACTTCACTCAAATTATTAGTCCTGCGGCCTGCCTTCAACATCCTCTTTAATCATTGTGGGGAACGAACACGTTCACATTATTTTTCCACAATTCGAATATAACGGTTTTGGTTTTCGGTATTGTAATTCATTACTTAATTATTTTTTAAATTTGTTGAGCTTATGAAATAATTCGGATACCACATTAATGTTATCAATTGACTACCTTGTTTTACCACAAACCCATGTAAGTATTTAATTGTTGTTGGTCAAACAATTTCTCACTTACATGTGTACGGTAAGTGTTATGCTCTAAGTATAATCAATTTTGAACATAAAGACTTTTAATATATGGTTGATGCATATTTATGGCAATATCTATTATTTAATTGAATTAATGTTATAATAAATTAAATAATAGAATCTGTNAAGGAGTTGTGATTGTGAGATACAAATTACATATGACTGAATCTTATATCGTCCGTGGTCGAAGTAATAACGAGATACGGATATCGTTATTACGGATAGACCATCGCGTGTGGCATTCTTACTTGTGAAGTAAGTAGCTGATCTCACAAGTTAAAGTGTGGTAACACTTAAATAAACACGTGTATGTTTTGTTATAAAACAAAATATTGGAGACCCGTTGAGAAGATTCCACATAGACAAATATCTGAGTATCAGTGGTTAATCTCTAACGTTCAGTAGTAGAATTGATCCTTTGATTTGAGACCATCATGGTACCTTATGTGAAGACGACATACTTTGATGATGTTGAATATTGCTCTGTCAATGGTCTCTAATACAGTATCGTTCGGGTATGTCAAAAATCATATAAAGGTTGTAAATGATCAATAAAAAATTCATTACTCTTAGATAATAACAAGTTATGATCTACTTTTTATTCAATTAAGTTGATAACGAAATCCTTGACCAATGTGTACTCATAAGTCGAAAATGAGTTTTCAACTTATATTGACTTAGTAGTGAGATGAAAGATATGATCGATAATTGAGATTGACACACATCCATACCTCGTAATTGATCGGATCATATTGACGAAAGAATTATAGTTTCTCGATAAAAGAACTAGTTTGATTTGTCATACCACGTGACATTTTTTGTAACATGTATTGCCCGACACATTGTCGATGTCAATTTGGGACGACGAATGCGAATTTGTGATAGATTAAAAGGGATATTTTCATTTATCGATTTTTAATATATCAAAATAATAATTCACGTCGTTAGGTATCGTGATCAGAAACCTGATTGGTCACACACAAAAGGAGAACAAGAAAAATGAGATTATAATTAATTAATGGAAAAATTACACCCTAGCCTGATTTTGAAGATCATTGTGCAAAACTCAGGGTATGAGGTTTAATCATTCACAAATCAGGTAATATATCGATTATTTAATATTAAATAATAATATCCCACCCACCCCACCCCACCCACCCCATCCCCACACCATCCTACTCTCACGAATTTCAATTTCAATCCTCAAACCAATTATTCCCATCCATTCCCCCTCCCTTCCCCTATCTCTTTATACTCCCATCCCCATACTCTTTGGCGACATCTCTCTATACCCACCTATACTCTCTGGCGCCACGAGCAAAGAAGATGCAGGCAGCGCAGATGTGTAGTGCTCTGAGTGCTTCTTAGTGCTGATCTGAGCTCCAACAAGCTGTTCGTGGCTACAGGCGACGCTCGTGCTTTTAGGGCAAATGTCTAACCACTTGATTTTTTTGGGAAAGCATATGTTCTTTGCAAAGCCAGATGAACTACCTGAAGAGGGTCAGCAGAGAGTTCCAGTCAGATGGGCACCTCTAGGTAGTTGTTTCCATAAGCTAAATATTGATGTAGCGATAGTCAAGGGAGAAAATGGTTTGTTGTGTGTGGTTTGTTGGTGGTTTTTTTGTAGGTAGTTTTTTTATTCGATGCACTTTGGTGGTGTTGGTGGTGATGGTGGTAGTGGTGGTGCAAGTGATGATTGTGGCGATCTGAGCTCCAACAAGGTGGGGCTCGTGCTTTTAGGGGCCAATTGAGGTGGCACTAGGCTAGTTAGCCATCTGGGCTTCACTTGAAGGTAGAACTGTGGCGGCGGGGGTTGTGTTTGTGTTTAGCTGGTTGTGTGTTTGAGTTTGTGTTTGATCTATAAGTGGAA